GTCCATTCATCCAAGCTGTGGGGTGAAATCTTTGAAAGTATATTGATATGTAAGATTCAAGTTCCTTGAGGTAGTAATTTGGTTTGATTTGATTTGATTTGATTTTCATTATTATATATCTTATTTTATGATTTATTCAAAAACTATTTTAGTCTCTAGTGAATTTTAGTTTGTTCATCCATGGTATTCAATAAAGTAGAGCTGTTTTTAAATTTCAAAGAAAAACAATGACTCAAATCTACGATAAAACAAAGTCTCATCCGACATACCAAATTAATCTCCAAAAAATTTAGTACCGCTTGAAAATTTTAATTTTTGAACGCCCTTCCAATCAGCCCTATTCTCAACTTTTGAATCATCTCTCTCGCGTTGTCTCTATCTCTAGCACCTCTCCTGCCTAAACTTTCCCTTCCTCTCTCTCTATCTCCGCCCCTCTCACTCCCTCTCTCTTTGCCATGTGATCTACGTAGGATCTACACCATCCACAGCCTCTACAATGAACCAGAGTAAGTACCTCTGTCCTCTCTCTCTCTGTGGCACTCTCTCTCTCTCATTCTCGCCCCCTTCAGCTGACCCTCTCTCTCTCTTCCTCTATTGCTCCCAACTCCCCAAACACTGTAGGCACCACCAAAACCCCAACTCCTACCTCCTCTGCCCATAAGCCTTACCTCACTCCCCTTGTAAACCTATCTGCCACACCCACCCAGGTATAACTCGACTCTGTTCTCCCTCTACACCCCACTACCTCTCTCTCTCTCTCTCTCTCTCTCTCATTCTCGCTTTTTATCACCATGTGTTTGTTTCGGCAAGACTATCATGTGCTTGTTAAATTGCCCTAATAATTAAAAATGTTTAATTGTTTTGTTTTTTTACGTTCAATCGCAACACCCGATGTCATCAAAAGAGGAAACGAAGCCAAAGATCGTCGCCACCGAGGAGGAAATCGAAGTCGATGATCTCTGTGTGTAGGTAGAGGCTTTTTCAAAATGGGATTGATTTGGGTATTTCATTTAACGTTCCGATTGTATTTACTTCTAATATTCACTTTCATACACTTGAATTTACTTATTATTTCTTTTTCAGCCCTTTCGAATCACTTGGGCACTTAAATTATGAAATGCATAAATATTATTTAATGTAAGTTTTATATTTTATCAATTTTATGAGTTAGAAAATATCTTTTCTAGGTTTCTTTGTTATTTGTTGTTATGTAGTCTTTGTTTTTGTTGGAATCTTTTGTTGATTGCTTAATAGTCTTGGGTTGCTTAGTTCTATGCACTAATATTGGAATTAGAAAACAAATTTTGTTGTCGACTAGGTACTTTTCAGTAGTTTTGTTATTTTGAATGGATTGTGTGTTGCTTATAGTGGTTTAATTTTTGATTTGTTATTTGGGTGATCCAACTTTACTTTTAACCTTCTCAGGTGGGCGATCAAACGTATTAAGTATTTATTTGAGGTATGTTTGATATTTTTTCAATTTATGAATCAAAAAAGATTTTTCTTGGTATTTTTGTGACTTGCTATTGAGTGGTCTTTATTTTTGTCGATTTCTTAGGAGATTTGGGGTGCTTATTTGATATAAGTCTTTTGTCAATTACTTGGTATTAGGTAGTTTCATTGTGTCTGGTGAAGTGGGTTTAGAGTTAGTTTTTTTGATTAATGGCAGTTGGACTAGAGCGGGGTTCACCTTATTAGTTTTGTCCTCTATTAATTGGCTTGGTTGTGATGAATGCTTGGTGGGATTTTCTATAAGGAGATTTAAGAGGTGTACTGGCCATGGTTGTAACACCCCAAATCATGATACAATATCTGCCACAAATGATGAGGAGAAACCAACAATAACCACATAATACTGATACCTTTATATACATACAAACTATGTTTAAAACTCCATGATTACATCACAATCGACCCTCTAAACTCGGCAATAGACTCCTCTCGTCTTTAATGTTTTTCCTGAAAAGTCATTGAGATTATTAGGGAGAGTAAGGATGCAATCAATAATTATGAGCACAACACCAGATAAAGAAAACACTTTATTTATTTAGGAACAACCTTAACCATGTTGCAATTACCAACATCAAATGTTACATTTCACCACGTACACGTTGTTTGGATACATCACATAGACATAACTTGTATAAATCACATAAGCAAAATTTACCGCTAAAATAGTTACTTTCACACAAGTAAATTATGTCACACAACGAATACTCTCGCGCATACCCCCAGTCACATAGGAAATTCAAGCTACACAAATAATTCTCATCACTTAGACGACATATAGCACATAATTAATTCTCATTACTTAGATGACTTAAGTCAGATAGATACTTCTTATTTTTGTCACTTAGAAGACTTAAATACGTAATTTAATTCTGTCATGTAGATGACATTGTTAATCAACTCGAATCACAACGCTAATTTCGGTCACGTAGATGACTCATATCAAGCAATTAATTCTTGTTTTATAGGTGACTCACAATCACTTAATATTTCCTGTCACATAAACGACACACAACTACTTAATAATTCCCATCACATAGACGTTATACAATCACCTAATATTTCCCGTCACAAAGATGATACACAAACTTAGTATTTCTTGTCACGTAGACGTCATACAATCACTTAATATTTTTCGTCATGAAGACGACACAAACTTAATATTTCTCATCACGTAGACGTCACACAATCATTTAATATTTTTCCGTCACGTAGATAATACACAAACTTAGTATTTTTCGTCACGTAGACGTCACACAATCACTTAATATTTCTCGTCACGAAGACGACACATATACTTAATATTTTTCAGTCACGTAGACATTTCACAGTCACTCAATATTTTCAATCCCGAAGACGATACAAAAACTTAATATTTTTCACCACGAAGATAATTCATATGATACTTTTATCTTATGGAGAACTCGTGTATTTATAATATTCTCAATCGCTTTTATGACCCACGCTCTCTTTGCAACTCTCGCCATTTTGATGGCTCACACCCACATTATTATCTCATCAAAGGAATGCATCATGCTTGCAAATAAATTCAGCTCACAAACGGTCAACTCGAAACGCATGCACAAATTTCATCACACAATTAACCCAAGCCACAAAGGTTTACTCCGTCATTTAAACCATATCTGTCACCCAAATATTACACCACTCAGTTATTAAATCTCAAAAGATTATAGAACAACCATTTAAATAAAACATAAATATGTATCAATAAAGAGAATGTAGGATAGCACACCTACCTTACGTGAGATTCTACCTCGTAGACGACCCCCTCCATTAGAGCTTTAAGTGCGGCATTCTTTGACATTTTTGCCTCTGGACTTGTCATGCCCAATATCCATAATTCCACTCAAGCATTGATATGTAATAATGCTTAAATCTATAATGGTTTACAAAAATCGAATTTCAATACTCAATTCGAGTCAAATTAATAATTCATTTGCATCTAATGAAATTATCTACTCGAATCAATTAAGCTAATAGTTTAATAATCAATTTGAGTCAAATTAAATAATCCATTTACATCCAATAAAATTATCTACTCGAATCAATTAAGCTAATAGTTTAATAATTAATTCGATTCAAATTAAATAATCCATTTACATTGAGTAAAATTATCTACTCGAATTGATTCAACTAATCTTCTCGAATCCGTTAAATCAATATTTATTTAAACCAATTACATTAAATGAAACCTTTTTCATAAAATTGTAAACATAACAAAAGTATACTTGAATTTGCATAATTTCCTACATCATAAAATTTTACATGTTTTCTTGTAATTACTCATCTATGGATTCATTCAATTTCAAGAACATTTCATAATATTTTTACATTATCCACTAGACTATTATCTCTAAATAAAATTCAACCTACATACAATAATTCTTTTCTTCCTATTTTTTTTTTTAATGCAACAACACCTTATGCTCACACACCTACCTAAACATTATATTAATTTTCCAAGCAATACCCATGATACCACACTTCCATACCAATCTTTACATTAAACCCACATGCAATACACCAATCTTAGATTACATGCAATACCCAATATATATAAACTAAGAATTCTTATATATATATTTAAAATGAGAGAAGATAGATTACATGGCTTACCTCTTATACCCACTTCCTACATTACCAAGCAACACCACCAATCTTCCACCTTTAACCCACCATTAAGTTCCACTTTCAAGCTTCACTTTTTCCTTCTTGCTTTACCCAAAATTTCCCAAGTGAGTGAAGAGTTTTGTTTATTTTTCTTTGTTTTCTTCTCTTTCCTATTCTTTCCTTTCCTTCCTCTTCTTCTCCTCTTGGCTCTTGATCTAGCCAAAATATTCAAGTGCAAGACCACTGTCTTTTTTTTTGCATGCAAGGCATGTCTTGCTAAGTGGAAACCTTCATCATGACATATATATCTCCATATGTACTCCTTAGTTTATATAGGTTTGTACATGTACAATTATATGTATCTACCCACTTTTATTTTTGTATATTTAGTTATACATAAACATGTATATACATATATTCAAATTATTGACAATCTATTAAATTCGTCTCTCGGACCCTTAATCACTCCTTGTGTATACTAATACATTTTATTTCATCCTTATTCTTATTATTTTATAACAATAAATTTATGTCACATGCTTGTCACCCGATTAATTCCACATGCGTTAACGTACGTAAAATAATAAAGTCATATCATATGTCAACATTCTTATTTAATTTTTCACACTTTAAATAAAATAATTCTCTTTGTAATCGTTCTTTATAAAATTATCTCTAAATATAAAAATATTCATCGTTCAAGTTCGGGTCTCATATCATTACTCGTAATTAAATACTAATCGTCAATCATATGCATACATTTCACATGTGAATAGGCTTGTGACAAAATATTATATAATTTTCATGCATGTTTGATTCTTACAATGGTAATTCCTTTTTCTTTTATTGTTAATGCACACATGTCCATGGCCGTGCGGGAAGTACATCTCTATAAAATTCTCCACTTTAACAGTAATTGGAAGAACTTCTATATGAATGTTCGGCACATGTGATAGCATTTCATTCGAAACTTGATTAATTTTTGAATGAAACATTGTTTTTATTTTTCTAAGATTGGACATAATTTTGATTTATTTTATTAGGCATCATATGTGGCATGGAAGTGCAGCCAACAAACAGCTCTAACAAAAGGTAAAACCGCTATATATTTTTCAGATCTTACATTCTTCTAATGTTCTTTGCAAGGTTAACTAACCGAAAATCCATTGAAGTCTTGGTAAGTTTGGAGCTATGGGCTATAACGGTTCAGTTTTGTGTACTTATTCATTTATTTTTGACTAATTTTAAGTTGGATGTTGATTTTAGTTCCTTAAGTGCGGTTTGGTTGTGCTGGCTCAGGTTTTGGATTGAGTCTTTGGTTTTCTTCAATTTTTTTTTTTTTGGTCCAAAGACAACAATATATTCAATTTTATTTTTTCGTTCCTATTAATTTGAGGATTTAATTGTATAGATGTCCATGATTGTTTGCATGAATTATTTATTTTGTAGCCAGTTTACAATTTACAGTTTACTAATAGTCAGGAATTATTGATTTTCGTTTTAGGTGTGGAATAGTTGGAATTTCTTTGCCAGTGAAATAATCATCACAAAAACATATATTGTCTTAAGTTTGTTGAGATTGATCAACTTGATAACAAATAGTTCACATCAACATCATGTAACCATTGTCAGAGTTGTTTTTCGTGTAACCTTCTTTACAAGCTATTTTGTGCAAACTATGGAACTAAATAGTTTGGTGTATGTGTTTGTTGATTGATTGAGAATATGAAATTGTCTAATAGATGAAATTATAGAAATTTATGCTTAATGTTGAAGTTTTAGTTGCAAGTATGTTGATAGGTATAGGATGTTATTTTGTGCTTTTTGCGTCATTAAGCCAAAGTTAAATTAGTGCAATTTCTTACATGGACCTATTGGAATGCATTAATTTGGAGATGAACTTTGTCAAGTATTTAGGTTAGTTTTGTTGGAATTAAATGTTCTTTGAAAATTGAGATTAAAATGGCATAATAGGTTAATTGTTCCCGGGTAATTGTAAAGAAAGAGGAATCTTAAGAAAATAGTTGTGCATGTTTTATCTCCTAATCTATACATGTTTTATCAATTTATGAGTTAGAAAAGATTTTTCTTGATATCTTTGTTACTTGCTATGAGGTAGTCTTTGTTTTTGTTGGAATATTATGTTATCGACTACGTACTTTTGGTTGTTTTGTTACTTTGGATGGATTGTGTGTTGGTTGTGGTGGTTTGATTTTTTAACTGTTATTTGGGTAATCCAACTTTACTTTTAACCTTCTTAGGTGAGCGAGGTTGTTCACCAACCGCGACGGCAACAAAGTTTGTTGATTATAAAGGGTGTTAAGTATTTATTTGAGGTATGTTTGATATTTTCTAAAATTTATGAGTCGGAAAAGATTTTTCTTGATATTTTTGTTACTTGCTATTCAGTATTCTTTATTTTTGTTGGAGTATTTTGTCGATTTCTTAGGAAACTTGGGGTGTTTATTTGAGATAAATCTTTTGTCAGTTACTTGGTATTAGGTTGTTTCATTGTGTTCGTTGAAGTAGATTTGGATTTTATGTTTTTTTGATTAATGTTAGTCGGACTAGAGCAAGGGTCTACCTTATTGGCTTTATCCTCTATTGAGTGGAGTACAAATTAAGTGAGTACTCATTAAGCAAGTACTCAATTCTTCCTTAATAAAATGTATGTTGGTCTCAACATGCTTGATTTTGTCATGTTGAACTGGATTGTGAGCAATACTCATTGCTACCTTATTGTCATAGGATAGGGCGATCTCATCGGTTCCTTAGAATAAAAGTCATGTTTCTCTAATATGGATGTTTTAAGTATCATTATATTTTATATTGTTGTAATAAGTATACATTTCTTAGCGTATACTAGTCTTTTATGTTTTCCTTAGGTAACTATAAATATAAGTTGAGAGTGAGAGGTAGGGCATGTGTGATTACTCTCCGCCTTTGTTATGTTGATTTTCTCTCATAATTGTTCTCTCCTTATACTCTAAATCTAATATGATATTAGAGCAAGATCCAAATTTGATCTAAAATTTTACTTCTAATATTGAACAATTGAAACCACAACTATTTTTTCTTTCCCCCTTTTCTTTTCCTCCCTTCTCTTCTTCTACTCTTCCTACTGTGTGACCCATGACCATGGTCTGGAGTTATGTCCTCTTATGCCTAACCAGTGGTTGTGGGTGGTGTCGGTGATGGATTCTGGTTGATGTCGTTATTATTGTGTGTGCAGGCGTTTGAGTTAAGGTGTTGAGGATTCTGGCTGTCCTTCTTCATGCTCCTATGACTTCAGTCAAGCTCAATGGGAACAAGAGGATGCACAGATTATTTTATTATTGTTGAATAGCATTGAGTCTCATTCGGTTACTTGTACTTTTGAGGTCTGCAAACAATATTTTTGCCTTAAGGTACTTTGGGTTTAGAAGACTATGATCCTGAGTTAGGAGAGTTTGTGAGGAATTAAAGATTTATCACTCGTTCACCACTGATGCAACACTTAGCGACAGAGTGAGGATTTGGATGTTGTTCACTTTCATGTTGGTTTGAAGCTTGTGTATGAGCCTATCTGTGTTCAAATTTTGGGTGGTTTCAGCCTTCCATCTCTTTCATAGGTTTGTTCTCGCTTACAACGTTCTACATTGTCTGATGCTCATTTTACGTCTAGCATTGATCATCATTTGCCTTAGTTGTCTCTAATGGCAAAAGTGGTAGTACTCGAGGGGGACGTAGTGGGGGTGCTTGAGGCCATACTTTTCATGCCATGATTTTCACAAAACTTGGAATGACGTAACGCTTCACATGATCAGCTACATCATAGAAATTAAACACCTGGTTTAACAAACAGAAAACAGGTACTAAGATAAAATAGTTTTCGGCCAACACAAACAAAGAAGTGTTGCTAATAAAAATTCCACAGGCGCTTGATTTACAGAAAACCTGTTTCACATCCTACATTAGGCTACGTCCCCTGCACAAAACCCAAAACCATGACCCCCCCCCCCCCCCCCCACTCTTTTTTTTTAAAGTAGGGAAGAATTTTATTGCTCAAAAAAATTACCCTAAACCCCTAAAACCATAAACTTTAAACACGTTTTTTTTTTTTTTTGGTGAACCTCGATAGTATGAGGAGGATTTTATTAATTTGAAAAAGAATTACATCTAGAGGAGGGGGCATATGAACCTTACCCCTAAATGCATCTAATTACATCATGAAATTAAAAAATGATAGTTAAAATGAATAATGCATGATTACATTTTATCCTATTCATAAACCATTTAAATTCAAATATGGCATGTTGCTGTTGACGATTGTAGATAGACCAGCTGCAGATATATATGGTGTGAAGATGATGCCTATCTGAAGATGTTGATAAGCCTTAGGAAAACTCAGACGCGTGGAGAGGCAGATCAGCTTGAAACTGGATAGAAATCCATTTGAAAAAGTCATAAAATGGTGTCTTTTCTCAGTAGGACTCTCATCTTCTGTTGATCATACTGAAGAAGCAGGCGAGCATCTGCAGGTAGTGAGTCTGCAGTAGTGATTGATCTCCATGTCTGATAGATCTTGAACTCCTTTGTTAGCAAGATAGTCGGCAACAGAATTTGCCTCTCGATATATGTGCTGGATTTCAAAATTCAAGCTGCCAAGAAGATGCTGTAGCTGATAAAAAAGATTCCGATACTTCCTATTACATTCAATGCTGCCTTTGACCATGTCAACAAGCAATTGAGAATCTGTTTCAGTGACCAGCTGATAATCAGACAAGCCAAAATTATGATAGATCTTAAGACCATCCAGCAATGCCCTAATTTCAGCTTCCATATTACTGCATATCCCATAAAACCTGGAAGCTGCTATAATTAATTGTCCCCACTGATTGCGCAAAACAGCTCCACCCCCAAACCTTCCAGGATTTACTTTAGCAGCACCATCGATATTCAGCTTCAATAAGCCATCAGCTGGACAAGTCCAGCATTACCTAAATAGCCCTTGTTCTGATTGACGAAGGTCTGATATTGAGAGATGACAGAAGCTCCTTCCCTTTACTGCACTCAGCTACTTTAGGTTTAATAACAAACCTTTGATAACATAAAATCTGCTTAATCCTAGAGATTAAGGTAGTAAAGTGCAGCTTAACTCCTTCACACATTCATCTGCATCGTTCATTCCCTATTTGCCAGAATATTATCAATGAAATTCCCCTTAGAAGACCATGACTGAGTGATTGTTTCTTGAATATTCTTGACAGCCTGACAAATCTTGTTAAAGGACCTTCTGCCAATACCAAATTGAAGCCCATGGATGAAGAAAATGCATTCCAAACTGCTTGAGCATACTCACAATGTATAAAAAGATGATCAATAGATTCTGAGTGTTGCAGACAAAGTGGACATCTGCTGGCAATGACAATGCCTATAGTCGTGAACTTTGAGTCCACAGGCAATGCATCCTTCGTGATTTTCCAACCATTGAGCTGTGCACTAGGAGAAATGTGCTGTTTCCAAATAAGGGTTGCAATTGGATTTTGTTGCTCATGGTGACAGACAAATGACCAAGCTGTCTTCACTGAAAAATTGCCTGCAGATGAGGGTTTCCAAACCAAAAGATCTGGCTTTTCATAGAAGGACAGATTTGTAGAGTTTATTTCATTAATTAGCTCCTCAGTTAATTCTGGAAAATCAGATGAGTTCCACTGACCAGCAGAGAAGACCTCATTCAGCTTTGGATAATTCTGTGGAGTGTCTTGAACTCTCAAAATTAATGGCCCTTGGCCTGTCCAGTTGTAACACCAAAGATCTCTACTTGCTCCATCCCCCACAATAACCTGAGTATTGGTGACCACTTGCTCAAAACATGAGGAAAGAGACCTATAACTCCTGGAGTAAGAATGCCTAATGTTTCTCAAAATATGCTGCTGCTTGAGATACTTCACAGAGAAAATTCTGGACCATAAAGTAGAGCCCTTCAGCAAATTCCAAGTTTGCGTCATACTAAATGCAAGCGCAATATCTTCAAATTTCCTTATACCAAGTCCCCCTCCTTAGGAACAGTCACAGTATTCCATGAACACCAATGCCTCTTTTTAACTTCAGCTTTGCTTGACCAAATAAAAGCTGCCATAATCGAATTCATTCTAGCAATAACACCTTTTGGAAGATTAATACAAGCTAGAAGATGCACAGGTATTGCACTTAGTACAGACTTAACAAGCACATCCTTCCCATGTTGGATAACAACTTTGCATACCACCCCTCAAGCCTTGTTCTGAATTTCTGCAGCAAGTCCTCAAAATAGATTAACCTGGATCTACCTTTAATAATAGGGCATCCCAGATAAGGAAAAAGACAATTTTTAATTGGGAATTTGGGATTTGTGCAGCTTGATGCAAAACCCCCCTCGTTGCATGAGAAATTTTGGAAGAGCAGAACATTGAACTTTTAAACAAATTCACCTGTTGACCTGAAGCTGCCTCATATTTTGAAATGAAAGTAAGCAAATTCCTCAAAGATTGTTTATCCCCTCTCAAGAATACCAGGGTATCATCAGCAAATAGCAAACGGCTTAACAACACAGCTCCTCTTCCTGTATGAAAATGCTTAACTAGACCCCTTAAGTACAGTTCTCTTATACCCCTGCCCAGAACTTCCTCAGTTAAGATAAAGAGACTTGGGGACAGTGGGTCCCCTTGTCTCACACCTCTAGATATTTGGAAAAATCCATGCCTTTGGCCATTCAAAACCAAAGTAGCATGTTGATTAGAAAGACAGTTAGAGATGATTGAAACAAATAATTCATAAAAGCCAAAGGAGAGTAGTGTTTGCTTTAGAAAAATCCCATTCTAACCTGTCAAAGGCCTTCATCATATCCAGTTTTAGAATAATATTACCACCTTCAATTTTTCTATCCAATTCATCCACCATGAACTGGGCTATAGAAATGCAATCACCTATGTTTCTTCCCCTCACAAAACCATGCTGCTCCTCAGATATAAGTGTTGGTAGTAATGCACTTAATCTAGAAGCTAAAAGCTTAGTAAAGATTTTGTATAAAAAGTTGTATAAACTGATGGGTCTAAATTCTGAAAAATGCACTGGGCTCTTTGCCTTGGGAATAAGAGAGATCAAGGTGGTATTGACCGACCTTGGAATAGAACCTCCCTGCAAGAAAAAGTTGACAGCTAGAAGAATATCCTCTTTGACAATATCCCATGCAACTTGATAAAACTTGACAGAAAATCCATCTGCTCTAGGTGCACTCTCAACTGGCATAGCAAAGATGGTATCATGCAACCCCTCCATAGTAGCCAATGTAGTTAACTTGGAATTATCTTCCATAGTAACCAATGAAAGAATAACAGAAAATAGGTCATTATTCAGTAAGTGATACTCTGAAGTATACAATTTCGAAAAAAACTTGTTCTGCACAAAGAGCCATCTGCTGCTCATCTTCCAACCAAATCCCTTCATCATTCTTAATCTTCCAGAGCTTATTCCTGACTGATTTTCCCTTTGCCACTGCATGATAGAGCTTAGTGTTCCTCTCCCCATCCATTGCCCATCTCATATTTGCCTTTTGCTTCCAGTATAGCTCTTCTAGTCTCAGAGTATTCTTCAGCTTGATTCAAAGCATGATGATTAGCTTCTGAAGGATCTTGGTCCATAACCTTCTCTGCCTCCAGTAAATTCTCCTCTTGCATCTTGATTCTTACATTCTTGTTCCACCACCTTAAATGAGCCTTCATATTCTTAAGTTTAAGAAAAACGTTCTGTATTGGATTATCAGAAAACTGACCAACCCATTTATGCCTAATCAAATGCAAAAAGGATGGGTGTTCAATCCACATGTCCATAAACTTGAAGTAAAAAATTCTGGGCTGCAAATTGTTTTCTGTAACTTTAATATGTAAGGAAGAGTGATCTGATTTTTCCCTAGCAAGATGAAATACCTCTGTGCTATCAAAAGCAAGATTCCAATCAGAATTAATCAGTACTCGATCAATCCTCTGCCACATTCTAGTCCTACCTTGGTGGTTGTTACACCATGTGAAATTGGTGGTTGAACAGCCATGCCGAGTGCATAAATGCATTGAATTCATTCATTGATGGGAAACTTGGAGTAGCACCCCCCCCCCCCCAAAAAAAAAAAAGTCGTTCTGAAGAAGATAGAATGGCATTAAAATCCCCCATGAGCATCCACGGTTGACAAGTAATATTCATGGCAATGAGATGCTCCCATAGTGGTCTTCTCAGCAAATAGTCACAACAAACATACACCAAAGTGAGAATGAAAGTATCTGAACCCAGATAGGTAACTTTAACAGTCAAGGACTGAGCATAAACATCCATTATTTCAGCATTTAATCTCTGGTCCCAAAGCAGCCACATATTCTTCTCTGCAGAATAATTTGCAGTGAAAGAATTCATATTTAGAGTAGAGGATAAACCCGGCCAACTTCATTGGACTTTGCCTAGGCTCCAAAATAGAAACTAAGCAAACATCCTTTGATCTAATAAGCTTTTTCAGTCGCCTCCTGGTAACATCCTTGCCAGTTCCTCTAATATTCCATGATAGGAAACTAATCATTTAAAAGAAGAAGGGGCCAAACTCCTAGACTTAGATCTAGTAAGGACACCAGTGGGATTAGGAACAGTAGGCAGAAGTTCTTCTATACTGCCTGCACTCCTACAAATATCATTCTCAGACTCAAAACCTTTATCTGGGGGTTCAGTGTTCGTTTGTAATTCTCTATCATCATCCAAGGGCACTCCAGCAACACTCTGTGATGTAATTATGGTCAATAAAAAATTTAGAGTCCAGAGATGAAGGAGATAATTGCCTATTTAAATGACAAAAAGGCTACATATGTGATTCTTCATTGGTGTTCTGGAGTTCTAGAGTAGATTGATTGTCAATGAGTGCTGACTTATCCATACGAGAAGTATTTGTAATACCTTGCAGTTCATTTGTTGTTTGAGTAGCATCCCCTGACAAGACCTTTGTAGTCTGATGCTGCTGCGTAGTTTCAACAGACTTTGATGCCTGCTTCAAGCCCTCCAATAAACCCTAAACCCTAAACTCTTTTTTGTCTTTTCGGTGAACCTTGACTGTACGAAAGGATTTTATTATTTTTAAAAATGAATTACACCTAGCTAGGGGGGACGTATGTAGTTTGCTCCTTGATGCAATCTATTACAAGAATGAAATAAAATAAAAAAATAAAAGAAAGCAAAATGCATGCTTAGTACAAATAATAAAATAAAAGGAAAATTATCCTAAGCAAGTTGCCTTTAAATTCTGAAGAGATTAGGTAATCAAGAGAGCCCAGCATAGATAAAATCTCAGTGGTTATCCATGAAGAGTCCAGAAAAGTGAAATAATCCAGTCATGCAGCTGTCAGGGAAGAGTCCAGGCAAAGGGGAATTCCAGCTGAAGGAGTCCAGCTGAGGAGATCAGCTGTCAGAATCCTTGTCCATCTGGGAAGTATCAGACGCTGTTTGACTTCATAGAACCAGCTGATGGGTTAACAATCAGTTGATAAGAGTCCAGTAAAGAATATTTTGGCATTTGAGAAACAGCTACCAAATGTGAAGCCTGATGCACAGATGCCAAAAGTAATACGTTGTTCCTAACGTGATTTCCCATAACACCATTTTTGCTTTCTCCCTCTCTCTAAATCTCTCTTTCCAAGTATATGTGTATATATATGCCTTTATAGACCGTAAATTTTTGGTTTTATATAATCATTGTTCTTTTTTTCTGTGATTCTGTTTTAATTTCTATTCCTCACAATTCACCGATGTGAGTTCTCCGCCTCCTCTTTTTCCTCATTTTCCTTCTCTTTCCCCTTTCCTACTCCTCCCTCCTTCCTCCTCTTCTATTTCTCCTTCTTCATCTACATCTCTTCCTCCTTCTCCATTTCCGTCCCTTTGTTTTCTCCTCCTCCTTCTACTCCTCCCCCTTCTTCATTTTTCTCCGCTCCTCCCTCTTTTCCTCCGTCTCCTTCTCATTTTCTTCCTTTTTCTCTTTCTCCTTCTCATTGTCCACCTTTTTCTTCTTTTCTTTCCTTTTCCTTTTCCTTTTCCTATTCCTATTCCTTCTCATTACCATCATTCTTTTTTCTCCTCCATCCTTGTTCCTCTCCTCCTCCTCCTCCTCCTCCTTCCTTTCTTCTGCTCCTTTTTGTCCTTCCTCCTCCTCCTCTTTCTCTTCTCCTACTCTTTCTCATCCCTGCTCCTCCTGCTTCTTCTTTCTCTTCTACTACTCCTTTTCTTCTAGTCTCTTTTCTTATTCCTTTGCTTCACATTTCTTCATCTTTTACTCCATTTTCTTCTTATTTCTATCCTTCTCCTTCTTCTTCCTTTCCACTAATATATGCTCATGGCAAAAGAGTACATTGTAATATTGACATAGTGTTATTTTCATCATCATCTCCTCCTCCTCTTTCTTCTTCTTATCTTTCTTCATTCTTATCCTTTTTCATTCTTCTCCTCTGCCTTTTCCTCCTCCTCCTCATTATCCTCCTTATTCTTCTTCTTGTCCTCCTCATCCTCTTCATTATCATCATTGCCATCCTAATTTTCCTCCTCCTTCATTCTTTTCCTGCTCCTTCCTCATTCTTTTTCTCCTCCTTCCTCATTCTTTTCCTCCTCCTTCCCCTTCTCATTGTCTTCTTTTTTCTTTTTCTTCTCCTAATCCTCATCATCGTCATCATTATCTTTCTCCTTCTTGTTCCCTTCTCCACCCTCCTTTTTCTACTTCTTATTTTTCATCCTCCTCCTTCTACTCATTGTTCTTATTTCTCTCCTTCACCTCCTTCTTCTTCTACTCTACTTTCTTCTTCCTCTCCACCAATTTATACCCATGGCAAAAGAGTACTTTGTAATATTAACTCCGTGTTATTCTTCTTCTCCTTCTACTTAAATCAAGATCGAGTTTTAAGTTTTTAAAATTTCTAAAATCTTATATTTCTAGTTTTTTGTCAAACTTTTAAACTGAGCCTCTTTCTCCTTCTCCTTCTCCTTCTCCTTCTCCTTATCATCATCCTCCTTATTCTTCTTCTCCTCATCATTATTCTCCTTATCCGAATAGTAGCTCTCGGTTATTTTTCAGGGTAAACAGAACTAGAATGGGCCGATTAGGAACCTTAGATCAAATTTTAAGTTTTTAAAACTCTTTCACATTCTAATTTCTCCTCAAACTAGGGCTTAGATTGAGCAAGTTTCTATGTTCGAGTAGTAGTGCTCTCGGTTTGCTTTCACGGGAAAAATATGACAAAGGGCTGATCGGGACCCTAGATGGAATTCCAAGTTTTTAAAATTTCTAAGCTCTTACATATCTAGTTTTTCGTCAAATTTTCAAACTAGGGTTCGGATCGAGATCTCGTCAGTTAGGGCAAGTTTCTATGTTCAAGTAGTAACTCTTGGTTTGTTTTTACATATAACAGAGTGAGAACGGGCCGATCAGAATTTTTAGATCGAATTTCAAGTTTTTAGAACTATTAAGTATTCACATTTTTAATTTTTTGTCGACCTATTTAATTGAGTCTCAGATTAAGACAACTTCAGTTTAAGCAAGTTTGTTTGTCTGAGTAGTAGCTCTCACTTTATTTTCATGGGAAATGGAGCAATAACGGGATGATTAGGACCCATAGATTGAATTTTAACTTTTTAATTCTTGCATTTCTAGTTTTTTGTCAAACTTTCAAACCGAGACTCGAATCAAGAAATCGTCAACTCGAGCAAGTTTTAACATCCGAGTAGTAGCTCTCGATTCGTTTTCAAAGGAAACGAAGCAATAATGGCCCAATCGGAACCTTAGATCGAATGTGTAAGTTTTGAAAATTTATAAGTTCTTACATTTCCAACTTTTCGTGAAACTCTAAACTTGTTTATGGTCTACAAGTGGTGGAGTTAATGATTACTTACACGTACATGGTTACAGTCACACCCTAATGGACTTGAGTGCCGAATGGTGGGTATTGGTAGCACCTTGCACCAAGTAAGGGGATTCAACTAAGGTGTTCGACAGATTGTGGGCACATAATTCGCATATGCATGTGACCCTAGTCATGGGCAAGCAGAAAGGGGTGGATACCATATCAGGTGCTAAAATGGAAGAACTGATTGCTAACTATCGAGCAGAAAAGTGGTATGACTAAACAGTCTTGCTGAAAATCAAACAAGACTATGTAACTAACTAGCTAGTGAGTAGTAAACCCTAGGCAAATGGGGGTGTTATCTACCATAGTCTCTGTATAAATAGGGGTGCTAGGACATTTTGCATTGGCAAAGAGTCCTTG